CAGCGGGTGGGTCAGGAGAGGTCTGCCGCGCCATGTGGTCACCTCCGGGGCAGGCGGGGATTGAACTCATGCGGAAGTGGCTTTAGCTTCCCAGCCCTGTGCTTTAACCCGCTGCGCCACCAGGGAGGGCCAACTCTTAAATTTTTAATCCTCAAAATTGCATCATCTGGGAAAAAACATATCAGCATTCCAGGTTTTTGTCTAACACCCATTTTCTAGAAATTAGTGCTTTAAAGCTATTATCTTAAATTATTTAGGACAGTTCTGAATTGATATAGCCTATTTCATGCTACATTTGCCAAGAAAAAGGCATTTTATTCAAACGTATCTGTATTGTCTGATGTTAGCTAGTCTTTATGCTAACAAGCTAAGTAGTTAGCACGAACTTTTGGTTTCTATTGTGCCAGGACAGAATGGCAAGATGTGCTACTAGGAAACTTTAATATTTACTTATTTAGTGACATTGTGCAGATGCAGGCACTCCTAGTTTTACTTAACTCCATTTTGTGATTAAAAAGAACATAAGTTTATTATTAAAAGGTATGTTTGTTGGTCTTTGATAATTGTTGGACCTTGTAGAACTTGGGGAGTGGATGGAGGATTTGTAACATTTGTCAAATGCTCTATGTAGAAATATCAGACATGCAAACAAAGCCTAAAACAATGCTTTTCTCCTTTTCTCACATCATGGCACACAGGAAAAGTTATCATTGTTTATCCAGGCCCCTGAACTTAACAGATGAAGTTGTTCCAAATTGTAAGCAATAGGCCCAGAATTTCTGCCCAGATGACCTATAGGCCACATTTATTGAAGATATACTTTTGTTGTTGTTGTTATTTTTGATGACATATGCAAGCACAAGTGTCAAATAGTAGGATAAGGAAATTTTTGTCAAGACATCATACACACCACACCATTTAGCTAATAGGTATAACAGTTTTCCTGCCTCATGGCTGCAGGTAAATTAAATAACCTTGAAATTCTTTTGGTCCTAAGATTTCTTATCTAATAAAAAAAAAATAGTGGTCAGTTAATTTTTCATTTCTAATGTTATGGCCCTACACCAAAATATGGCTAGAAAACCATTGCTTTTGTGATAAACTCTTGAATACTTATATTGTCCCTCTTTTCAGTCAAGTAAAAAAATAATGATTTATCAGTTATCCTTGTACATATGCACTAATTAATTTTATAATAGCATTATCTATATATATGGGATATGGCTTTCATTTAAAAAAATCCAACAAGGACATTTGTTGTCCTTATGTCTATCTCTTCAGTATAGTGGTTTCATTTACTTTGTGACTAATGACTCACAGTGAGTTGTTAGATGCCAGGGCAGGTGGTTGACTTTTTTTTACCCTTATCCTGGCAACTAATTCCTAAATTTCCAGAAAAAAAAAACACTCAAAATGCATTTCTTACAGTGTCATAATTTTGTATTTGAAAAATAGTACATTTCAAGGAAAGTGGGATAATGCAATGAGAAGGTAAGTTCTGGCCTTTTCATCTACCTGGGGTTTAGGTTGAAGAGGAGGGCCATCAAGGAGTCACAGTTGCAGGCCTGATGTTCTGAATGCTCACATTTGATTTATTTTCTTGAAGTCATTGAGTATTTCTGCCTTCTAAATATGGTTTGTAAAAATATATACTGATGTTTTCTTGTCTAGATGATAAAAATGTTTTTCTTCTCATTTTACCCTATGTAGTCAGTATTCACTAGAATGGCAGTCTTGAAAGCTCTGAATAAGATAAAAGAAGAGGATTTCTGCAAGTAAGTAGTAGTACAGAAAGAAGGAAACATGGAATATTAGACTAATGGGAATAGGAGAGCTATCTGGATTAAAAAACAAGGCTGGATATCTTTCAGGAACTAGGATTGTGTCTTAGTCACTGTTCTAGTGCTAGTCTCTGGTGCAATACATAACATGAAGTGGTGTTTAGTGTTTATCAAATTAGTATTTGAATTTATGAATCAAGTCCACTTTCTTTATCTTTTAGATGAGGATGTTGAGATCCAAAGCGGGAGTTCAATTGGGTAATAGAGGCTGGACCTAGAGCCAGGTTTTTTGACTCCAGTTCAGTGCTGGTCCTATTATGTCTATAATCTTGCATGTCCTAGTATTTGTCCATTTCCAGAAGGGCATAAAAAGATTCATGTGCTAAAACATGCAAGACACAATGAACCTTATATTCTAATTTTTAGTGTGTTTATTTAATAAAGTATTATTGTATTTACCCACCCAGAATATCCTTGAGTAAATTTCAAGCTATGAATTTGTGAAGAAGATTTAATATAGTTTACTGGGTAAAGGCATATCTCAGAATTGAATTATTTTTGTTAATTTTTTAGAGATTTATTTATTTGTGCATACAGAAACTAGGTACAGGCCAGAGGTGCAGGGGTGAGAGTGGGGAGTAGAATAGGCAGATGTACTGAAATACACTGCTGAGGGGTCAAGAGAGGTCTGCCACACCATCCGGATCACCTCCCTGGTTGGGGATCGAACTTGTGTTGAAGCAGCTGTGGCTACCTTTATAGTGCTGTGCTTTTAACCAGCGTGGCCCTATTTTTATTAAATTTTTTAACATAAAAATGAAGCAATGGTTCTAAATATCTAAAGTATTTCTTTCTTTGTTAAACATTGTTGGGAATCTATATGAATATTTCAAGCCATGCATTTGGTGTTAAGTTTACAACTAGTCAGGTTTTTAGGACATTCCTAAATAATAAACAGAGAATAAAGTTAGACTTTGCTCTTTCCTTCCTGTCTTCAGGAATTTTTTAGCTACAAGGAAATAGCCTGCCACATTTTCTTTCTTTTTTTTCGGCTCTGTGATTTAACTCCCAAATTCTTGAAATAAGATGGAAAAGGACAGAAGAAGAGTAGAATACTCTCCACTCCTCCACCCCCACCCCCACTAATGAATTTAGTCATAGAAAAAAGTCTTTCATTGCACATCAACTTTTTCCAAATGGTTGAAGATTATGTAAACCAGCAGCACATGTTTGTGGATAGCAAAATAGCTCAAGAACTTGGAGACGTTTCTGTTTCATTTATTTGGATTTTTCTCCCAAACCTCAAAATTGTCATCTACGAACATGAGGCCTCCTGAGCATGAAAGATAGTAAGTAGCAAAACCCTGATTTATAGTGTACCACTCTCATGTATTGTAAGTAGTTCTCCAGGGCCTCACTGGTGGTGCAGGGATAAAGTGTCAGTGCTATCAAGCTATCAGTGTGTTCCATCTCCTGCCTGGGAACTAATCCACATGGCACAGCAGACCTCTCCTGTCTCACCTGCTGCTCCCCTCAGCAGTGTGCTTCAGTAAATCTGCCTGTTCTGCTCCCTACTCTGTCTCTGGTGAATCCTCTCACCCCTTGCACCTCAGCCTGCACACCAGTTCTTGTAAAAATAAGTAAATCTTTAAAAATAGTATTCCAGGGCCCTCCCTACTGGCACAAGGTGTTAAAGCACAGCACTATGAAGCTATCACAGCCACTGCAGCTGTTACCCCCCCCCCCAGCCAGGGAGGTGACCCCCATAGCACAGCAGACCTCTCCTGTCCTGCCCACTGCTCCCCTTAGCATTGTATTTCAGTAAATCTGCCTGTTCTCCTACCCTGTCAGTCTGGTAAATCCTCTCACCCCCTGTACCTCTGGCCTGTACCCTAGTTCTTGTATATATCAATAAAGAAATCTTTAAAAATAATAAAATAAAGTAGTATTCCAGACTCCTGAAAGACCCTTAGAATTCCCAAACTTAAGTTAGGAAAAGTCTTAGTCCTTGAGAGACTCAAGTTCTGTGTGTGTCTCAGACCATGCTGATTCATTGTAGTTATGTGATTTAATAGCATGCCTGGAAAATAGTGGTTATAAAATTTATTTTGTTTTGCAGGCAGTTTCCTTGTCCTCCAAGCTCACCAAAGGCTGTATGCACTGTTCTTGAAATTGAATGTACTCACGGTGCTGTTTTTGTGGCTGGTAAATATTTGGTATATAGTTCCCATTGTCAATGTATCACCCCTTCTCAAAACCTCAAACCAACTCCTCTATTTTCTTCTTGTTATGTTATTAGATTCTGAGTAGCTAACTCTTTGGAGAACTAGAACTGACAACCAAGCTAATTTTATGTTCTATAGGCATTCTTAAGAAGCAGTCAGGAGGTGCCATTTAAAATAATATGGCCAAAAGGAAAGGATTTTGATAGCTTTTATCAGAGAAGACCATGTGAAAAATGGGTAGATGTAGAGGCCAGAAACTGGTCAGGAGAAACAGCCATGGGGGGATGTTTTATAAAAGCAAACTTGAAAAAATAATTTTACCATCTTCAGAATGACTAAACACTTCTGGCTGGGGGAAAAAAAAACATGGTTGTCTTAACTTTCCCAAGAGACAATTTAGCAGAGAATTTTTGTTTTGATAGCTACAGCTGTTTCATAGTAATAGCTGAAATGAAATTGCTCTTCAGGTCTGTGATCCTTTGCCCTAGGGTGGTTAAACTGCCTGCCTTTGCATAGCTTTCATCATAAAGCAGTGAGTCATGTTCTTGTAGGGTTTTTTTTTTCAATTACAAAAACTTTAAAATTTCCTGTATTTCAACTCTCTGGAATATATTATCACCAATGACTATTACCTTGAAAGTATTATTAATCAGGCATAAAAGTAGTAGTTGTTCTTTTTTTTTCTTTTAATGATCCTTTGTGTGTTCTGTAATTATTATAATTTGTTCAGTCAATAAGATCATTAAAGATATTGAGCATTCCTTTAGAACTCCTTTGATGATTCATATCATACCTTTAGCCATGTCTTTTATTATATTTTTATTTTTCTGTGTGTCTGGGTTCCCTAGTTAGATTATAAATTTGTTGAAGGCTACATCTTGTCTTATCTCTTAGTTCCTAAGTTATTGGCGCACAATAGGTAGTTTTTATTTTTTTATCCTGTTGTGTTAAATCACACCATTCCATCCAGGCAATCTGATGTTTCATTGGCAGGGAGATATAATAAATACTCCAGAAATTTGCCACAAACTCCTTGGATAATTGATGGAGAAAGGAAGCTGGAGTCTTCGGTGGAAGAGCTAATTTCAGATCATCTTTTGAAAGTATTCAAAGCAGAAAGTAAGTGTTGTAATATTCATATGTTAAATACATATCATTCATGAGTAGATTTCATGAAGATGGCCAGAAAGATTTTATAAACCCTTGCCAAGTTTGGGCCTCTATCCTGGCAGTGTTCCAGGAACAGGGATTTCTGGGTCTTGTGTTCCTCTGACCTGAGTTGGATTTGAGCCAAAGGATCCAAGAATATCTTTTTTTTTTTAAGATTTATTTATTTATGCATACAAGAACTGGGGTACAGGCCAGAGGTACAGAGGGTGAGGGAAGTCACCAAAGACAGATTGGGGAGCAGGACAGGCAGACTGACTGAAATATACTGCTGAGGAGAGCAGCGGGTGAGACAGAGAGATCTTCTGTACTATGTGGGTCACTCCCTGGCTGGGGATGGGCTCATAGTGTTGTGCTTTAATGTGTTAAGCCACCAGGGAGGGCCTGGATCCAAGAATTTCTTCCCTCTCTTAAAATAACTGATCTTTTTTTAGTAAGTTCAAAACAATTGAAACTACTTTCAATGAATGCACTTAAGCTGTGAGCTTGAGACACTTTATCCTTGGCCTCTTTTGGGGGGAATATGAGGAAATTAAAACACCATACCTTTATCCAGTGCATGCTGGAAAATAATCATTGGCATATGCCTGCTTTCCATCTTAACTGCTAAGCCTTAACTGGAATAAAGTTCAGACTTAGTGAAAACAGATTAGCTAGCTACTACTTTAAGAGACTTAATGGTAGTTTTCTTGTGTTTTTATTCCTAGGTATGAATAAGCCCAGATTTGTAGGATGAGTCAGATCCTGTCAGGCTTGTGTTTTCTCAATAGGCCTTTCAGGTCAAAGGCAGCAGAAAACCTGTGATTTCATGTAGCATTAGACTCGAGGAAAGGGACTAATATTTCAATCTCAAGATACCATGCTATGTATCAGGAAGAACTGTATGCAGTGAATAAGTATATTATTGTTTGGAGTGGATCTCCCAGCCTAAGTAGAATATTTTTTTTTGGGAGACAGACTAGATAGCTGTTTTTTGTTTTTTTTTTTTTTATGGAAAACCGTAAGACAAGTCTGCATTAGGAATGACAGACATATGATTGAGACATGTCTGTCCCTTCCAGTTCTCTGACTTGTCAAGAGGAAAGTGAAGTACTTCAAGTCACATCCCTCATAATTTATTCCCTGTTAGGTAGGTGGATCTTTTATTAAACAGCCTTTAAGAATTGTTTACTTAATAGATATGAAAGTAAGCTAGCAACTTAATGGTTTCCAAAATCTTAGCAGTGAAGACTCTGGGCTATTGTCATGAGCTTTTACCTATTTAATTTAATATTTACACACTGGTTATCTAATAAGAGTTATCCAAACTATAAAAAAAAATGAGAATAAAACTAGCACAAAAATATCTCTTTCAAACGCTTTTTAGGGCCACCTTCCTCCCTTTCTATAAGAAAATTCAAGAGATTTCAGTTCTGATTATTTGGATTCCAGGGAGGCTCCCATTACCAAGAGGGCTGCTTCCCAGATGAACTCTTCATTTAACAATGGGTATCCATCCCAAGATAGCAGTACTTCGAAGTCTGTTATCTCTGACTAGAAGATCCCGATATTTTAGGTTTACTGGCAGCTTAACAATGGCATGTGAAAAAGGGTCCTTTGACACTTCTTCTACACTCAGTCTAGCCTAGATCTGGAGAAGGGCGGCCCTTGTGGCCTTCCCAGCTGCTGGCTTGGCCGGTCCTTGGTGTTAACTTGGTGCTTTACCTAGACTTCTGATCCTAACTAGAATTCCAGGTCTGCCTTGGATCTCTAGCCCTTATCTACCCAACTTGGGGTTGCTTCTCTCTGTGAGGCCCACAACTCTGGGCCCTGTGATTCACAGAGGAGCCCACTTTAAGCTCATGCAGCCAGGTGTTTACCTAGGCTTACAAAAGGGATTTATTAAAGGTAAAGGAAGCAACAAATCCTACTTTCTTCATAGCTCAACAGCCTAGAAAGGGAGGCTAATTTTCAGTGCTGTTTTCATGGGATTTTTCAAACCTTTTAGCATTCCATTTTCCAAAGCCTGCATTGCATGTGGAGTTTTTCCTGGGAGAAAAATGGCCATCCTTTTTCTCCTCCCTTCCCCCTATGTTCTTCCAATCTTGTTCTTCCTCATCTTGTGCTCACCAATGTGACTAGATTATTGAAGAGTAAATTCTAGTCTTGTGGCTGATGTTGCAGTTGTGCTCTTCGTACAGGAATGTTCTGTACTTGCCCCATCTTAGCCTTACCCACTATATTATAACCCCTAATGCTCCACATTCAGCTTTGTGAGGATAAGAGCTGTGTCCATCCTGTTTGCTTTTGTCTCCCTAGCATCAAGTACAGTGCCTTGTACACACACCCTGTCATATTTGTTCTTGAATGAATAAAAGAGGCGATGAGCCTGAGTTCTAGGCCTCAGCCTCTGTGAACTGTACCATTTTATAATAACTGACCAGGATTCCCTAAACATTCCAGCCCTTCCCAACCCATGGTCCAAAAAGACTGTCTTGCTTGTCTCTGAGGGCACACGCTTAGCTCTTCCAAGAGCTATGTCTCTGTGGTGTGGAATAGCTGTGGTGAAGAGGTGCTGGAGCCAGACTGCTCAGTTCAAATCCTGACCCTACTACTTAGCACTGATGTGACCTTAGGCAAAGGACTTATCCTGTTTCTGTCACCATCCTTATAAGTACTATGTACTTTATAGTGTTATCATAAAGCATTGATGCCTCCTTATGGTAAAGGGTGTTGTAATAATGATGGTGAAGTTATCTGTCAATTGCATATCAATGAAAGTTTTCAGGTAGCAAACATACATCCTTTTAAAAAAAACCCCACAACACTTCCCCCTCCTAATATTTGCCACTTTTAGTGTCGGATGACCCATCTTTCTTACAATGTGCACTAACTGTCATGTCCCAGCTTAGGTTTGCGATTTGCTTTCAGAGTCCAACTTTTATTTTCTCCTCTTATTTTCATTGAATTTAATTCTCAAATAAATGGTCTTGCTTTGTTTTGTTTTAAGAGCAAAAAGAGAAAACAATAGATTTATCACTATAAGCTGTGGACAGAGTAGTGGAGGTCTTGACTTTCCCGTGTGATGGGGATGGGGAAGGTAGTTAAATCCTGGCTTTGATATCAGAAGCACTTAGCTCTGCTAGTTAGTTATGTGTCCTGGGGAAAGTACTTAACATTTCAGAAGCTTGTTCTCTCTTATTCAGTGCCTGCTTCTTGAAGTAATAAGGATTAAATGAAATAGTATATATATGGATTGTTCAAAGCAAATTGGATTTCTACTAAAGGGTAGGAGGAAAGGACTATTATATCTCTGACTTTTCCCCCCTTATCTATTTTTCCAAAGGTTTTAATTTTTCATCCTCTGGAAGAGAAGATGTAGATGTGAGAACATTAGGAAATGGTAAGATTGCACTAGCATTACTAGATTGGAACTAACTTTCAAATTGTCACCCTTTTGAAAAAGACAGATTACTTTAGTCAGATAAAAACCCAAGTGGACAGAGCCCAGAGCTTCTCAAAATAAGGAAACCTTGTGGATTATGGAGTCACCTTTATAAATACTATTATGCATTGACAGAAATTATTTCTTCAGGGACCATCTTGTTGCATGTCTGTAGATTATAAGGAACATTTCTGTGCCTAAAAAGGTGATGCCTGATTTTCCCCCCAAAAGCTTGATTATTAGTTGTCCCATTTAATAACATTTCAGCAGCAACAGTACATTTTTTCAATGCACAACTTCATTTTAAAAACTGTTCTTTTCTCTTAGTCTGTATTTCTCTCATTTTACATTGTTTCATTACAAGAAAAATGATGAGAGTTAGTCCTGAGCTGTTAGGTATATAGTCCTTTCCTTTCATAGAATCACAGCCTTTCCATTCACTGGTGGATTAGGTTAGGATGGAATTCAATGTAGTATACACCTGGCATTGCTGCATGGGACAGTGCTACATTAGGGTCGCCAGTCAAGTAGTGTTTGGATTTTATTTGTAATTAATTTTATTTGTAATTTGTTCATGTACCTTCGGGAGAGCAGTCATTTTCACATGTTGCTGGTGTTTAGCAGCCCTTCAAAAGCCCCTTGAGTCTTTTCACACATTCTTCCCTCCCCCAGATGTAGTCATGTCACTAAATTTTCAGTCCTCTAGAGTTCAACTCATTTTTCACACCTCCTAACCCTCTTGCATTAGCCCAAATGTTAACTCCATCAACACGTTTCTGTTTCATGACGGGGTGTGTGCTGCCAGGAAGGCCCTTTGCAATTGAGCTGGTGAATCCTCATAGAGTACATTTCACTTCACAAGAAATTAAGGAACTTCAGCAGGTAAACCACTTCATGACATGGAAATCGTCATGTTTCTGCAACTCTGTAGCTGAACTAGAGTTGCTAATTGTTTTTCTTTTTCTGCTACTACAGAAAATTAATAATTCATCTAACAAAATCCAGGTCCGTGATTTGCAGCTTGTTACAAGGTAAGTGTAGGCTCACTGGTGGTGATTTCAGAAGGAAATTTTGACTATACATCAAATACTTTATAATGGAATTGTACCCAGGATATACAAAGACCTCAATACAATTACACTCAATAATAAGAAAACAACCCAATAAAAAATTCATTTTCTTTAAGGAAGTAATAATCAACAAAAACATGAAAAAAAAAAAACACCTCAAGATCATTAGTCGTTAGAAAAATAGAAATCAAAGTCACTTCATACTGATTAGGATGAGTATAATAAAAAATGCAGAAATTAACAGCTGTTGGCAAGGATGTGGAGAAATTGAAAATCTACACTTCTGGCTGGATTGAAAGTGTGGCACTTTGGAAAACAACTTGATAGTTTCTTAAAAGGTTAAACCTAGATTTATGTATGACCCAGCAATCCTAATTCTAGATGTACACCCAAGAAAACTGAAAATGTATGTCTGCACACAAGACTTCTAAATGAATATTCATAGTACTATTCACAATAGCTGAAAGATAGGAACTACCCAGATGTCTGTGAATCAACAAAACACGGCATATTATTCAGTAATAAAAAGGAAGGAAATACTGATACATGCTACAAGGTGGATAAACCTTGACAACATTATGAAAGAAGCCAGATACTAAATAACACATACTGTATGGTTACATTTCATACGAAATGTTAAGCATGGGGAAATCTGTGGGGACAGAAAATTGAATAGTTGCAAAGGGATGGAGGAGGTGAGGGGTGAGGAATGACTGCAAATAGGTGTAGAGGTGGGGTGATAAAAGTATTCTAAAACTAGATTGTGGTGATATCTGCACATTTTTGTAAACATACTAAAAAATCAGTGAATTTAAATGGGAATTTTAATGTAAATTATATTGCAACAGAGTTGTTTCTGAAGAAAGAAGTTTGAGGCAAGGCTTGTGTGTGCTTTATATATTCAAACAAACTTTCTTTTGTTTTTGTTTAGAGAGGCAATAGGACATATGAAAGAAGGTGAAGAAGAAAAGACCAAGACATACAGTGCCTTAATATGGACAAGTAAAGCAATACAGAAGAAAGACATTGAATTCCTAAATGACATGAAGGTAGTTTACTCTAATTCTTTTTGTTTTATTCTTTTATTGTTTATAAAACAATAGTTTATAACTTTTGTCTTCTAATTTGTTACCAACAAGTCATAGAGAATGGGCTCTGGGACTGAGACCTAGTTTCAAATCCTGAAACTAGTTTCAAATTACTGATGGATGACTGGGCAATTCATCTCATCTGCCTAACAGGCAGTGTTGCTAGTGGTTAAAAGTCTGATTCTGAGGACAGGCTCTGGGTATAAATTTCTTAGTTGTGTGACTTTAGTCACAGTTACTTTAATCTCTTTATGCTTTAATTATTTAAAAGAATTGAGTGAGTTTAATCAGATAAAAAACACTCATCAGGGGCCTCCCTGGTGGCCTAGGGGTTAAGTCTCAGTGCTATCACTGCTGTGGCCTGAGTTTGATTCCAGCCCAGGGAGCTAAGCCACATAGGGTGCAGCAGGCCTCTCCTGTCTCGCCTGCTGTTCTTCTTAGCAGTTATTTCCATAGATCTGTCTGCTCTGCTCCCCATTCTGTCTTTGGTGAATCTCCTCACACCCTGCATCTCTGGCCTACACCCCAGTACTTGTAGGCATACATAAATAAAAGAAAAATAAAAGAAAAAGATGAATCTTAAAAATAACCACTCATCTTTATAAAGGCAATACAAAATAAAACTCATAGAGCTGCATAAATAAAACATGTTATAAGTAAGTAAAACAAAACTATATTTATATATATATATATATATATATATATATGAAGCACAGTTTTTGGCACATGCTAGGTTTCCTTCACATAAACATGCCACTCTCAAGACTCTACCTGTTCATTTGCATATATCTGCCCATCTGCTCCACTTCTTCCAGTAAAGATAATTTACTTTCAAATATAACAACTGAGCATAATGGACACAAAGATGTGTATGGTTATTACAACATTGTTTACATGGCAACATTTAGTAATAATGTAGATGACCAATGACAGGGACTGGTTAATGTTATGGCTTATCTGTTTGCTGGACTAGTACTGGCCAGCTATTAGAAATTCTGTAGTAGGTGAATATTTATTGACAAAGGAAAATGTTCCTTGTAAGTGCTAAGGGGGTTAAATAAACTATAAGAGTTTTTAGCGGATGATACATTGTGATGTATTGTGACATTCACACACTACATAGTTTCTCACACATGCACATACACAAATGTACACAAATGTACACATGACTACATATGAAACAAATCATATAGCAAAAGATAACATAAGTAGGATTTGCATGTGAAAAATACAAACACCCAATAAAGAAAAAGAAACAAAAGATATGACCAGGCAGCTAAAAAAGAGCAACTCCAAAGAGCCAACATTCATTTGAAAGTTATTCTACCTCCAGAGGGAAGAAACAATAAGAAATTACTTTATTCCTCTCAGACTCAGAACACCTGTTGGTCGAAGTTGAGGAGTTGCATACATTATTAGTAGAGATTTAAAGTGTTTTATCTTTTTTTGGGAAATAATGAGGCATGACCATTAAAAAAAAACAACCCTGAATTTCTTCCCAGAACTCCCACTACAGGCAGTCTGTCCTGTAGAAGACTCCAGTGCAAAAGGATATCTGCACTGACTTTGTGCAAAGTGACAAAAGCAACAAGAAGATTTGAACCAAACTGAATTTCCTTCAATAAGAAAGTGGTAGGAGGGCCCTCCCTGGTGGCGCAGCAGGTTAAAACACTGCACTGAGAAGCTAAAAAGCCACTTCCAATGAGTTCGATCCCCGCCTGCCTGGGAGGTGACCACATGGCGTGGCAGACCTCTCCTGACCCGCCCGCTGCTCCCCTCAGCAGTGTACTTCGTTGATCTGCCTGTTCTGCTCCCCACTCTGTCTCTGGTGAAGACTCTCACTGCCCCTGAGCCTCTGGCCTGTGCCCCAGTTCTGTATGTACAAATAAATAAATCTTAAAAAAAAAAAAAGTGGTAGGATAAATTGGAATATTGTACAATGATTAAAAATTAAGGCTAAAACAACATGTGATCCCTTTTAATTAATGTATGTATGTTGGGGAAAAAACAAATAGAGGTAGGTTTATATCTATTGAAGGGACATGCATAGTAAGAAAAAAATCATCAAAGTGCAGAAAAATATTGGTAGTATGAATATTTTAGTGAAAAAAATGCAAGATACGTGTATTCCTGCTTAGGGAAATTCTTTTCTACAATAAGGGGATGGGCTCAGTCTCACCAGTGGTCCTTCAGTTCTCAGTTCTGTAGTGTATAGTTAAAGCCCTTTGGCACTTGGCCCTTTATCCATGGCCTTTAGGTGGTTAATCAGACTTCAGACAGGTATCTTTAGGATTACAAAACAAATTTCTAACCTCTCTTCCATTACAAGTGTACAAATCATTTCGAATGCTGTAGAGACAATAACTCATTAAAAAAATAGATACGTAGTCTGGAAGCAGCTATTAGAGAGCTAATCAGAAGTAATGTCAAAAGATGACTTTAATAGGTATGGACTAAGTGATGATGGGAATCTTTTTTTTTTTAAGATTTTTTTTTTATTTGTGCATACAAGAACTGGGGTACAGGGCCACTGGTTGGGGGGTGAGAGGGTTCATAAGAGATACAGTGGGGAGCAGAACAGGCGGATCTACTGAAATACATTGCTGAGGGCAGCAGCAGTCTGCTGTGCCATGTGGGTCACTCCCCTGGCCAGGGATTGAACTCAGGCCTTACCAATAACAGCATGACAGCACAGAGACTTAACCCCTATGCCACTATAGAGAACTTGATGATGGGAGTCTTTCAGTGGCTTAAAGCCCAAGCGAGACTAGTTCACTTTCAATAATTTTCTTAACTGTTAGGGGTAGAACAGTTTTCAAATATTACTATTGGCATCAACAATATAAAAACTGAGTTACTACTCCATTCTGAGAAAAAGCCACTTCAAATTTACTACTTGTTTCCTCTTTTCAAAGAGGAACTGACTTCTAAGAAGAAAAAAATAATCACTTCTGTGTTAAATGTGTTTCTGAAAACACATTATGTCCCCAGCAGTATGGGGACAAGAGAGTGCAATAGCAGAGAAAATGAAATGATTTCCTTTTGTGTGCTAAAATCAAGCAGACCAAAAAAAAAACCCCAAAACAAAACACACAAGCATGTGCTGATCTCAGTGCTATGTTGGGAGCTATGCTAGGTCTAGTAGCTCGGTTAGTGTTTCCATGGACTAATTTGTGGATCAGTCTCCTGGGTGCAATAGATGGTAAAGGAAACAGAGCTGAGTAACATTCCTGACTTATTTAAGAGCCAACAGTTAGTTTCTGGAACCTAATAGTTCAGCCTTGTTCTTTTTTTTTTTTTTTTGGACTTTTTGGAACAGAAGAATGTAGAATCTTAGGGAGACAGCTTATCTCATCAGAATAAAGAGATTTTCTAAAATCAAAGAATTAAGGAACATAAAACCCATGAGTCAGGAGGGGGCCCATGGTTCAAGTAGTTGTATCCATTTGTTCAAGGGTAGTCTTTGTCAGAAATTGCTCTTTCTCAGAGAATTTAACAGAGGGAAGCCAGACAGAAACCTTTCTTTACTTAGCAGGGCTTTAGGTGTTCACTAATCATGTAAATAAAGGAAATGTTCCAACAAGAAATTTCAAAGTTCTTATGAACCTACATTTCTGGTTATGCCTAATATCTATTTTTGAAACTTGGAATCAGTGAGCTTTTTGCAATATTAACATCTATTTCTTAATTTATATCTGTGACATAAAAGCAACTCTCTTAATAGTAAGAACAAGTCTGTGCCCCTAAAAAGTCTGAATAAAAAACATGCAGTGTCACTATGGTGATGGCACATGGATGATTTGGTGATGGGAAGCCTACAGGGGTTACAACTGAGATGAAAAAATGCACAAAGTGATGTGAAAATAAACTATTATTAAAAAACAAAAACCATGCAGTGTCATAGCAGGAGCATAAAGGAACAAGGGGAGGAAGTGATGGACAACTATATACCAGACACATTTTATGGGGGTTGGGTGGGGAATGGGATCAAAAATGGGCAGTGGGTGGGAGTGCATGGGACTATGGCGATGGCACATGGGTGATTTGGTGATGGGAAGCCCACAGGGATTACAACTGAGATGGAAAAAGGCACAAAATGATGTAAGAATAAACTTACTATTTAAAAAAAAAAAGATATGTAGTGTTATTATTCTCAAGTACCTTGAAATGGGCTAACAAATACTAAGAGGTACTGATTTATTAGCCACACTTATTTTGTAAGTTATGTTGAAACATCACCCTGAAACATGCAAACTGCCCATACACACAAGTAATGCTGATATCGCACCTCCTACACCCAGTCATTTGTCATCTCAGCCTGAAATCCCCATACTTTGGTCAGTCTGTTGACTTAAGGGGTAAAAAAGATTAAGGACATGCCTTCTAGAAAGGTCTGTTAAAGGCAGGATACAAATCCAGAGTCCTAACAGTTAAAACAAAGAGACCTTGGGGAGCATTTATTTCAAAGGTTTTTTTATGGTCTATTGGGGGGCCCCAGAAAATGAGTAATTATAATCAAGGTTATGAAAAGTCCCAGAGTTTGAACCTCCAGTGGTATATGGAGCCCTAAGGAAATATGGGAAGCTCTGAATGACAAAGGAGGTTTCACTGGGCAACGAAGCTGACTCCATGCTTGTGTATCATCCTCTTCTAGGACTTAAAGATTGATCAGAAAACACCTCTACGGGTTCTTCACCGGAGACCACTGGCTGTGAGAACTCGAGTCATTCACTCCATGGATACATGCTACTTGGATGAGCATCACTTCCGCCTCCATCTTAAGACTCAAGCAGGAACGTATCCTTTGAACTTCTGCATAGCAGTAACCTAAACAAAATCCTCTTGGAAGTTTGTTACCTTCAAAAAGAGGGTCAGTTGGATTTGGGCGGGTATAAGGAAAAGTTTAGGCTGGAGATGAATCCATTTTGGTGGTTTGGGGTGTTTTTTATTTCACTAGTTTTTGAAAATGACATTTTAAATTATGAGGAAGGAAACAGCAAGTTCAGTACGTACTTATGTTTCTTGTAATACAGCGTCTCACACAATGCTGAGCACATTTTCAATACTCAAGAAACACTTTTGATTGATTCATTTGTTGTCTTTACACATTTTACAAGTCACATACTCATGCCCATGTTTGGATATCCCAGAATATTTGAGCTTTGCCCCAGAGGATTAAAAACTGATAGTAGATGGGAGTGGCCCTACTTTACATACCAATCTTCATTTGGCCGCTGACCCAGAACAAGAGAATAGTCCAAGGCAGAGCACTTGCCCATAAGCGACCATGCCTTCTGCGGTTTTGTATCAGAACTGCATTACTGGGAGCTGCTCGTCTGAGTTTTAATTCACTTCTCAAATGTGCTGCTAGTTTTCATTTGTTTCTTGATTTTAGGGTGTGGTTCAGTAGCCTAAGTGATAAAATATAGTTATAAAACTAATGCTATACATAGGGATTGGGGGTGGGGGGAATGTTACGTCCATCCCCAAGGAGCATTCATTCACATTATGCTGCAATTAGTTTGTTTCTCCTATCCACTGACCCTCCCCTTCCAACCCTGTTCCAGTCCACAAGTGACCAGGATTTATTCAACTGAAACATGTATAGGTTACTGATTTCTAAAATTTTCTGACTTTTTTGCAGTTTGGATCAAGGAATGACCTATTTAAACCACAGTGAACACATTTACCTATTGTAGGTAAATTTCAAAGAAGTCACAGTTTAGGAAAAAATCCTTTTACTTCATCCTAATTTTAATTTTGATGCACCTAGGGGAAAAGTGGTATAACGTCTTTTTATTCTCATTGAAATGTATTCAGAACCGGCTGTGTACATACACTCAAAACTGGAAAAAAAACCCAACTATCTAGCAAAGCCTTAGCTGCCATATGGTAATGATGATTTTTTTTTCACATATATTTCTCTGTATACTGAGTCAGTTCATTTGATAATCTCCTCACCCCTCTGGCTATGAATAAGAACTGTTCTGGACATTTTAACTGGTTATTAGAGGGGATTTTTGGTCATCTCTCCCTATCATTGCTATTCAGATGGACATTCTCTAAAGAAAGTGAGAGAATGACAGTTGTTGAGTAATTATGCAAAGTAATTAGCAAAGAAGACAGTTACTAGATAATTACACCTCTTATGTCAGAATGAAAACATTTGGTAAAGGTAGAGTGAATACATTTTCAGAAACTGAGGAGTAGGTAAGATCAGCACTTACAGTGTTAACTTCTTGTCCTCTGAGAATAAACTTATTTTTTGTATTCAGAGTGGTTTATAAAATGCAACATAATGCTGAATGAGTTTTTACTAAATGGCCAGTTAATACTTTTTCAGTTGTGAATGAAGGTAGCAAAAGTCCCTCCCTATATGAGGAATGTTAATATAATATTGTTAGTGACTGATTCTAGCACTAGTTAATGGCTGGAGATTTTTAGGACCTATGAGGGAAACACAAAGTTACTTTTTTAAAAGAGAAAGACTTAATTCTCTTGCTAACCATGTTAACAAATAACTAGAATGTAGGTCCTTTGATAATCCTCCTGAAGGGCCTTCATCAAGACAAAATGAACCTTCCATCCTATTGCATTGTGCACTGAGTCATATCACAAGGAAACTTACTGGAGTCACTGTGTATGGCCTTGTGGAAACCCACCATCTGGCAGATGTTGGGTGTATTATTAAATATGGAACCAGAAAGGTGACAAAACAGAAATGTAGCATGGAAGAAAATAGTAGAGGGGTGGGTAGGTGTTGTTTAGTGGTGAACTACAACTAATTTTGAAAGTCAATATCTAAATCTTGGGACTTGGAAATGAGCTGGAGAAAGAAGAGGGCCACGATTCTGGGTAAGTCTGATATTAACATAGGTCCCAGTTCCTGATCTTGGCTGCTAGGCTGGGAAGAGCCAGTGTGTCTGAGCTTACTTTCTAACACACACATATATCACAAATCACAGCCCAGGAATCACCTTTTTTTTAACATTTGCTTTTGCTTGCCATTTCCCTTTATCTACTAGATCTCAGCGAAGCTGGCTATCTCCATATTTTCCTTAAGCCAATCCCAGCTACATTAAAGAGTTTGTACATGGAGACTTTGGAAGAACCAAGCCAAACATTGGCTCTCTGATGAATGTGACTGTAGACATTCTTGAGCTGGATGTGGAGGTAAACCTTTATCTATATATTAATATATATATATATATTACATTATTCTTCATTTTGTACATTTTTTTCATCTCAGTTGTAATCCCTGTGGAGATAAACCTTTCTATTATACTCTTTGTACAGTAAATGTAACAAACATGCTTTTTTGGCATTATGCTAAATAGTACCACTCACCTTAGTAGGTATTTGAAGATGGCCAAAATCTCACAATAGCATTGTACTGCAAGGAGAGACTGTCTTCTGAATTTTTCTCTTAAAAAAATACAAGGCTTCATTTATGATTCTTGACAATACATAGCTAATTTACTAAACGTGCTTTACATATGACATGAGCCATACATAAGCCCTTAAGTCAAATAAGGGAATGGAGTTTCCTTTGGCTCTAGCGTTTATTCATACCTATATTATTCTATAAAAAACTCAAGGTAGGCTACTCAGAAACATATTCAGGACAGGGATAGAAAATGGGATGAGTCAATGGTTATTAATAAAAGTAGTTCTATAAGGATCTCCTTATAGAAGTGGTCCACATTCTCTGCTCTTGTAGTCTGATTTGAAAGCATGTAACTTCTTAAGTCATCAGAAGAATGGCTAGACACATTGGCAGTTTTCCATAAATATTTTTTCACATTTGAGTATTAGTAGGAATGATGTCACAAGTTGTGCTCCTTAGTAAATAATTCAGTGTAGGAAGAGTCCTGCAACTCTATGCCCACCTCTCATCTCCACAAGAAACAAACAAAAACCTTTACAAGAGGCTAGCATTTTGCACTTGATAATAGTATCAGTTCTAAAAAAGAAGTGGTTAGAGTAGCAATCATGATCACTGGGACAGCCTTTACCTTACCACTAAGCCTATAAAGTACTTTCAAATTTAATTTTATAAAGCTCTGATGGGATAATCACTGAGGGCATACTTTAGATTGCAGGTGACCTTCTCAATGAGGCTTATTTTAAAAAGACAACTTTCTGTTAAATAACAGAAAATCCCAAAGCATTCATCTTCTTTGACTTAAATTCTTAAAACAGCTTAGGAGTATTGAAAACACAGACCAGTGTTTCTCAACCCTGATTGTCCTTTGCAGTCACCTGTGGAGTTGATCACTATTTTCAGGCTTGAGAAACCACCAGTTTACTTAGAGATGGGTGTTTAGTATATAAGGCTATCTTCCGAAGAAGAACCAAAATATTTTGTAAAAGATACAAACATGTGCAACAATTACTTGGGTTTTTCTAATGAAAATTTTTGAGTCAAGTATGTAAAAGAACTCAGATTAATTTCATTAACTCTTAAAAATTATTTAAAAGAAACTACTTAAATTTTAGGTTTTAATACTCTGGTTTCTCTTCAGATCATATAAATCTTTCGCTTTTAAACGAATTTTAGGTTTTAAACACAAATAAATCTCAAAAAACATAGACCAAGTGGATTTCTTTTTTAAAACTTATAGGTCAGAACCTCCAGGGTAGTTTAGACCAGGTATAATTTCATACTTCTAAGTCCTGTAACAAGATTGTTTATGTGGAGACAAAATAGTTGCTATTGTTATTTTATTATGTCTCTAAGATTAAGGTTTTGTTCTAGAAGAGCCAAACCAGGCTGAATATACATAAATTCAGTTTAAAAGAACAAAAGTTTTGTGTGATACACAAAGATCCTTAATCCTTTACTTGTTCCAAGTGTTCTTTTATATTTATTTCACATTTAGTTGTTAATTTACAACAAAGATTAAGTTTATAGTCTAGTTGAGTAACCAAGTGGGATCAGAAGAGTAAAATTTGCTGAGACTTCTGAGGGAGACTTAGTGTTGCCATGTGAATTTATTTACTATTTTACCCATATTGTTACAGGGCCACCCCAGTGTGAACTGGGCCACCTGTCCGTGGGGCCTCACCCACCCGCTTAAAATTGTTAGACTACAGGCGCACACAACAGGGTCAAAATGGGTTTATTTAGAAAAGGGAAAAACAACAGGAAATAACTGTAATATCTTACCAGCTTGCCGACTTGGAGCTCTGGTAACTAACTGAAAACCCTGAGTCATGTGGTCTGGAGCGCAATTTCCCAAGCGAGAGACGCAATGGCACCTATTTATCCCCCAATGTCCCAGAATGCCTGCTTAGCTCCGCCCTTGGGTCCTCACAGTTCTCGGCCTGGTACTGCTGGGAGTTGTAGTTTCCAATCACTGGAGTAGGGAGTAGAGTCCAGAAAGCTGGAGTAGGGAGTGGAGTCCACAAGACACTGCAGAGTTCCTTTAGGACATCCTTCCCCTTAACAATGTAACATTAAAAAAATGTCAATGTACCCTAGTTTCTTTAACATTCAAAAGGCACAACTAATAGTAAGCAATGGAATAACCAACACTCTATGAATTCAGGAACAGGCCTTGGGCCCAGGACTCCCGAGTCCTAAAATGGATTTTAGATTTGAATTATGGTATTCAATGGCTCATTTATTCAGATAATTATGTCTGTTACATTGTAGTAAAACTATTAAAAGTATACAGTATTACCAGTAAATGCTAATTAAAACAGTAATATGTTTTAATGACTTGCTTTCTTCTTTGTAGTCTGTAGATGTTGATTGGCCCCCTGCTCTGGAAGACTAGCTTTCAAACTGGGCAACAAAGGTTTTCCTGGCCTGATGTGGACATCCACCATGTTTACCCACCATAGGGTGTCTCAGTAACAACTTGGATCATGTTGATCTCTATATTTTAAAATCTGTTGTAACATCTCAGGATCTATGTATGTGTATATTTTGTTATATGGTTCTAAGAATGTCATGATTTTTCTTGTTTCCTCTTCAACCCCCCAACAAACCAAACAATGCATAATGAATTAATTTTTTTAATGCTTCATTTAGAGAGGTAGACAAGATAAATTCTGATAATCTGAGCTGTAATTTCTCTTAGCAAAATTTCCCTTCACAAGATACATACCATGTTTAAAATCATGTAATAAAATTTAAAAATGATTTTGATATACATTATATCTAGATTTATGCAATACAGTATGCTTTAAGATATCAAATGCAAACCTGACATGATTATTATTTTTCCTATTAAGTTTCAAGTAAGCTATTACCAGTAGAAGTTGGTGTGATATGTCACATCTTAATCATTTCAAGTTACTATTTTGACAATCTAAAACTGTCAATAAATTTCCTGGGAAATGAAACCTTAGGAATTGAGGCATGTCGTGGTAAGGAAACTCCTTTCTTTTAAATGAGACACAAGTGCCTGCAATAACTTCAATCCCAGGGATAAGACTTCAAAAAAATCTAGATTGCTAAAGGTAAACTGATACTATTCTTGAGTGCTTCCTTGTATTACTCAATTTCAACCATCTTCATCAGGTAAATAGGATATTATCACTTCTATTTTATAAACATAAAAACCAAAGAATAGGCAATAGATGGTTTATCTAAAATTGTCACTTCCATAGATAGGATGAACTGAAGTTTCCTGGTCTCCAGGGTCCTTTCTAATAAACCCTTTTACTGAGCACCTGCTATGTGAAGGAGACCCCTAAGGATGTCATTTAAATGTGTATAACATGGTGATACATGATACCTGACCTTTGGAAATGAGAGAGCAAATCAAGGAGCTTACCAAAAAACAACCCAAGTATATTTCATATGATCTCCTATGATTACCATTGTTAATAAGTTAATCATCAGTTGGTACTACAAAGAGGAAAAGTAAGCTAAACCTAAAAAAAAGTCATTATCAGTTAAGTTTCAGATTTGAGTGTAATTTCCATCATTTCTGATTCAACTGTCAGCTTATTTTATAATACAGATGACTTGGATAGTACTGAATTAGTTTCCCATCTCTACACTATACATAGCTCCTGTATACAAAGATATATTATCCACTTTACAAATCAGGAAAATGATGAAATTTAGATAAGCTACATATACAAATAACAGCATTTTTTTTTTCACTATTTCCAATGCCAGGAAATGATAAAGGGATAATAGAAATAAGCTTTTGATAAAGAGTAAAGCTTTTGTGTGAACATTTTTGAGTTTTGGTGGAAATGTTACAACCAAAGAGATCTAAATAATTTGGGAGAGATCTAAATAATTTGGGAGATAGTTTTTTTTTTTTTTTTTTTTGCAAGTTTCATTTTGATTCAGCTGTGAATTCAGTGAATCTGCGAAATGGAAGAACCTCTTCAGCAAACTTAAATTAGAAGACTTCTATTTCCATTTGTGAGATATGCAATATTTTAAGAGTAGATATTAGTTGTAAATACTTATTCAAAATGTTCACGAGACATGGGTGTTTAAAAATTAATGTAGGTCTGCTTTATGCAGACCTGTAAACATTAAATAATGAATACTATAGTTTCGTGTTTGCCTCTATGAAAGTATTTTTACATTTGTTATTGCCTCTGATAGTACTGATTAAACATCTTTTTAAAAGCATTTAGAAAAGGGGCCCTTTATCTCTTTGTGCCGATATAGTCTGTGATTTAGTTTAGGCAAAATGTCAACTCTGAATACTTGGAAAAGTAAAAGTAAAGTTGGTGAAGTGAAAAATTTTTCAAGTAAAATGATTACATTGTACATTACATGAAATAAATTTAAAAGTTATAGTTCTATTTGGAAAGAGAAAAAATCTTGGAGACATCTTTTCCTTGAAAGCTTTATTCTTGGATTTTTAAGTCCATGTAAGAGGATGTACTTTGATGGAAGCTTTTCTGAATTGATGTTTTAAAATGGTGCATTTTTTAAATTATGAAAACAATTGATATTTTTAACTTTTTCATTCTGAAATGATTTCAACCTGGTAGGAAAATTGCAAAAAATACAAGGGACCTTTTCTTCCTAAACCATTCAGCCAGTGCTGCCCCAACACTCTGAATACATTAGTATAAATAAAATACAACAGTTCTTGTAGTTTCAATTTAATAGCAGGAAGGTAACACTGACATTACTATAATTCACAGACCCCATTCAAGTTTCACCAGTTAACCATCAATGTTCTTCCTAATCAAGGGGTCTCTCTTTGCATTTGGTGGTTGTCTCTTTAGTCTCATCAATCTGTAAGTTTGTCTTTCCTTGACTTAAATGATTTTAACATTTTTGAAGATTTCAGCTCACTTACCTTGCAGTTACCTTGCTCCTCTATTTGGGTTTGCCTGATCTTTTCTTATTAGATTCAGGCTATACCTTTCTAGTAACACCACCAGAGAAAAAAATACTATCTTCTGGCATCTGATTAGGTATTGTACTATTTTGATTTGTATAGTTACTTATGACTGGGCTTTGATTAGCTAATGAAGGTACACGCTTTTCTACTCTTACACTTTTCTTTTAGTAAATATGATGTTGTAAGAACATCATCAAACGTTCACTACTGATTTTTACCTGAATCAGTGATTCGATAATCACAGTGATTATCAAATATTCATTTTCTGATTCCACCATCCCTTTACCTTCACTGGTTGGCATTCCACTGCAAGGAACCTTCTCTTCTTGTGATTTCATGACTTCCTATTTTTTTTTTAATGGGTTATGACCTGTCCCTAACATTTATTTTGATGTCGAAGTGTGGGTTTGGCCTGTGGATTTTCCTTTGATCTGGATCCTCTATCCTTTTGACATGCCCCACCATTCTTATAACATGTTCTTACTTAATACAGAGACACTCCAGGCACAACTTGTATTTCATTTGCACCAGACCTAGAATGGGCTGGTTCACTAAGAAAAACTGCTTCTTTTTTGTGGAACATGACATTTGAAACCAAAACCTGGGTAGTAGGTCTGCTCAGTGCTATCACGACATTGCTGTGTCCAACCCTCATGGCAAATGCACACACTTACATCTATGTATTTCTCTCTACATATAGATATATGTTGAAAATTATGAGTTTAACTTAAACTAGTATTTCCAATTCTAACCTTATTTTAGTTTTCTCCTTTTTCATATTTGTAATTTCTCCCTGAATGTGAGAAATCTGGCTCCCATCAGCTTCAAAATAATTAATACATCATTTACCTTCATAACCAAGCTCATATTGTGCATCTTTATTCCAGGTCACTGAGACTCCCCTCCAGACTCCTCACATGTTCTTGGTTCCACACTTACTACCATACTAAGTTACCCCCGTGGCAAAATCTACCTGCACTTTGTTCAGTATAAAAATGACTTTGTCCTAAACTATTCAGGGAAGGAGAAGGATAGCCAGAAAATAAGTCAGGAAAGCAAAAATTGAAATAAAAAAAGCAGTTTAGCACTCAAAAAGTTATCATTTCAAAGAGCTAATATGCATTAGAATACATAATTTGTCTGTGACATTCCATAAAAACACCCACTGTTTCTGTGAGACAATTATTATTTTTATATCAAATAGCAACAAAATATTAAGAAGTTTACAATTTCTCCATTTATTCTCAAGAAGAAAAATCACTGTATACAAAGATATTACAAAGGTGATAAAATATTATGTACAATAAAAGGTATATTGACATCTGAAAAATTATTGCATCTAGCTATCACACTTAACATTAAATAACTGAACAGTACCTGAGAACTTTTAAAATTCACCCATCAGTGCCTCAAAATTAATTTCTGCCATGAAGAAGCATATAAAAATATTTGAAAAAGTCATAAAATAGTGCCACTACGCAGTGCTCTGAATTTATCAGTCAGCAGTATTTTAAGTACATTCTTTTAAAACAGAAGCTCTGAAGGGGTTACCTGGTTTGAACCATGCACTAAGAATGCCCATTACCCAAAGACTTTGTGTGGTCCTTTCTGTCTCTCCTAAGAGATATCTTAACTGTGCAATTAGTGACTAGTATTTCAACTAATTCGCTAATAAAAGCTACCATGTCACTCATCAAGTCTCCTGAGATTGAGTTCCACAAATGTATCCCAAAGTCTTTCAATTGTATCTATTTCTTACTACCTTTTGTGCAAAGTTATATTTTGTTTAGATGAAGTTTAAGGAAAAATTAGCAACTGTTTTTAAACAATTTTATTTACCTATATATCTAAAAATGCAATTTGTTGAAATATATGATTTTATACTTTGCTATTCTGTATTTCTTTTTATACATGTGTTTAATGAACTTTATTTGTAATTCTTCAAATTTTCAAAAGTCCAATAGTAAACTGAGGTTGTTGAAACAAATAAAAATGTTAAGAGTATGATAAGTTCTGTCTTCTCTAAATATTACTAGCAGTTGGTGTCATACAACTAAAGGCACAGTCATTTAGAATAGAAAAATATTTAGAAAAAATTGCTTAAGAAACTATGCATTTTGTTTACTAATGAGGGTACTGGGAAGGTGATCTATACTTTTCTATGCATAAAAAAATTGCAGACCCAATTAGTTTTTAGATTTGATCTTTTAATTGATAAGCTGGTGCTTTAACTAAACTTTGTTAAGATATTATTTGTTGAAACATTTGTCTTAGACAAAGGCATAAAAATGGGTACAGACAACCCATACATACATTTCTCTCTCATTAGCTATCCATTCCTGGGCTTATGTTAAGTAGCATGAAGTTTTCTATTATATAGAATGCAAAAAAGATTCTAATTTTATACTTTTCATACTCAACCTCTGAAGTTCTTCAGTTGTAACTTTCTTAGTTATTATGATAAGCCTGTTTAGGAAGATAGTCAGACTACTTCCAATTCATAATCTACTATTGCAAAGATATTCAGAGTCACAGATTTTCAGAACAGGAAGTCATTATCATCATTATATAATAGAAAGTGTCTCTGGAAAGAATAAGAAATAAAGGTACTCTATCTGGACAATGGCTAGCTGTTTAGGAAGATAGACTACTTCCATATTGCAAAGATATTCAGAGTCACAGATTTTCAGAACAGGAAGTCATTATCATCATTATATAATAGAAAGTGTCTCTGGAAAGAATAAGAAATAAAGGTACTCTATCTGGACAATGGCTAGCTGTTTAGGAAGATAGACTACTTCCATATTGCAAAGATATTCAGAGTCACAGATTTTCAGAACAGGAAGTCATTATCATCATTATATAATAGAAAGTGTCTCTGGAAAGAATAAGAAATAAAGGTACTCTATCTGGACAATGGCTAGCCACTCTAAAGAGAAATTCTTCTTAGGGTTCTTCCTTAAGACTAATACATAGCAATACTTTTCATCCTGCCATGTATCAGACAAATGCAAGGAATGTTTTAAAGTATAGCTTAATCAGAACCATGGAGATTGATGTGTGTGTGTATTGGCTTAATAACATATTTGATTAGCATTATAGAACCAACAGGCAGGCTAGGAATTATCTGCATTTTATATCTGAAAAGATAGATTCCCAGAAGGTGTGATTTGCTAAATAATAAACAACTTTAAGTGACATAGCCCAGATGTGTTGACCAAAAAAATCCCTATTCTTTCCATTTCTCATGCTATTTAACACTTACAGCAATGTCTTTAATCTCAGTAAATCACTTTGTGATATAACAAGTTATTTGGTGCTACTAAGCAGCCTGGATCATGAATTACAAGTCTCTTAACATGGCAAGTATAATTTTTCTGAGGCATTAGGTTAGAAATTGATGACCCAGCTATTTCTGTTCACCACAGTAGTAATTTAAAAGGCCATTAAGAAATATATTATAGAAAAAAAATATATTATGTTCTTATGCTATACATCAGAATAGTGGTAGGAATAGGTAGATATCAAAGGATATGAAGGAAACTTCTGGAAATAATTGTTTACATATGTAAAAATTCATCAAGTTGCACATTTATAATTTGTTTACTTTATGCATTTTACTGTTATCCCTTAAGAACTTGGTGTTTTGCACATTAGACGTTCAAAAATGTAATATATTATCAATTACATGAATACTGGAGTGCCTGTGAAGGGATAGGAAGTCAAGGAAACGCAACAGAGAAAGACTACAGATTGAACTGCCACATATAGTAGAGAGAAGCAAGGTCAGAGACAATAAATAATCCTGATACCTTTCAACTTTTCCCTATTACAGTCCTCCCTAGTGCAGGAAGCAGAGAGTAAAGCATTCCACAAGCTGGAAATCTTGGCATCACTGCAGGTCAAGTACCTTTCCCACTAAGAGCCTTATCTTTGTCCACATTTTTATATGGCCCTATGTTAATTTCACCCTTCCCTCTCTAATGATAGCTGCCATTTATTAAGCATCAACTGTACTTGGGATCGTGGTAAGCGATAGATTTCTAAGGATAAATGAAACAAATCTTAAACAACTACAACTCAAAAGGAGGTCTACAATATGGGCATGTGCAAAGCTGCACTTCAACAAGCAAAAAGCACAGTCTCAAAGGCCACATCTTTCACTAGAAGAGCAGAGGCAGAGTGGGTAATATGTTAAGGATTTGGAGGCCCTATTGTCTGAGAAAGTTTTTT